CAAGCAGAATACAGCAACCAAAACCGGTGCAGGAAAGTGCATGGTTAATGGTTGTAACAACTGAACTGACCTGCCTCGGCAAACATCGCTCACCGTGGAAACCTACCTGGTGACATGCGTAAGACATGCCCCAGAAAACGGACGCCTGTATACATTAGTCAGAGTAGGCCCCGTACGACCTCTGCAACATACGAATACACTTTTTGACAGCTTGCACGCTCCTGGAGCGCAACTCCCTTGTCTGTTTGTTTTTTGTTTGCTGATATCTTGCCTATCTCAGACCGGTAACGAGCAAATCGCGGATGGATTTGTTTGGTTATAATGACTTGTTAGGCGTACAATCAGGACTCGAACAAGGACGACATAAAATGAGTAATAAACTGCAACCTCGTTTTGATTCCTTCAATGAACTATAACTAAGGTAAAAAAAATGAGGCTTGGAAACATTTGAAAGAACTAATGCTGATTTAATTCGAAGGCGAATCGTTTTAAAAAGTTGCAGGTGACACTTCGAACAGATTATGCTGATTACCGTGGTTGTCAACTGTATCTTGCTGTAATGTAAGAACATGTATAACTGACATTATGAGCTACAGCTGCGTTGATACTGAATATGGAGATTCTTCAAGGACTTACCGCCAAAATTTTCACCATTAGCCATGCAGAAGCTGAGGGCCCCGACCACAGGCTTTAGTGGTAAACCTGCAGCAAGCGTATTTGGGGAATTGACATTGATTGTCAGTTCTGTAATCTGGCCAGGTGGGACAGGGGGAAGAGGGATTCGACCGTCGGCGCCAATAGGAAGCCATGCGATCTGACCAGAAATAGGACTTCGTGTTGCCAACTTGGCCACAGACTGATCACCCTTTAACGTATAAATTACACCGTTTGAAACCTCACCTCAGAACGTATATAAAAATTGTCTGACCAGGGGTTGGGACCCGAATTTTCAATCACGACTTTAAAAGATTCAGGAGTGCCTGGAGAACCAGAAGGCGAAGGCCAAATTCGGAGATCAAATGATGGGGAGATACAGCTGACTCCAGGGTTCTCAACCGCAATGGACGTTGGATTAAACGTGCAAACGGTGGTAACAGCATTTTGCAGTGCCGATGAATCCTCAAAACTAAAGTCAAAATATGCTCCGACGGCTCGTTGAAGATTCCTACGAAGCTGAAAATTCGCAACCAGCAACTCACCATCCTGCTAGCTCCAAGAAAAACCGACAAGCATCTTGCGATATGCTAGGCCCAACCACTGTCCTCAGCTGACTGACCAAATCATCTTTATCGTTCGTACCCAGTGCACCAAACTGCTCCAAAAGCTGTGCATCCACGTCACAAGTACCCAGTTCCATGACACTGCCTATTCCCTACCTCATGTCACACAGCAGTACGGGAGGTGTCAACCTACAACCATAAATTTAGAATCAAAGATGTTCAAAAAGCCAGATACGTCCTAGAAATAACGTTTTCTAATTCAAGGGTTGGCCAAATGAAAATTCTAATTTGAGGATCAGCGTTCAGTCAGGCTTCCTTTCGGAAGTTTTAAACCGATTGTACTCAACAGCTGTTGAGAATAACCATAACTTTCGACGCTTTAAGTACCATGCCTAACTATTCACAAAACAACAGAATAGCATAGTATCGAATCTTGTGTGAAATAATCAACTTGATATCATTCCTCCATAATCAAACTTGATTGGTGCAGAAAACATTATGCAAAACTGTGTTATTGCCGCTTAGCAGCGACTAGTGTATCTGCGCGCCTTGTGTACAGCACAGTTCAGTTTGCACATGGCAGGACAGGACAGGACAGGTCAGGTCAGGTTGCACAGGACTGGTAGTGGCCACAGGCCAATCAAGCGTCCAGAATTCCTTCGGTGGTGTGCTCACGAGTGTGCATCCACCTCTTCAAAC